AGAGGTATGGATTTGCATTTTGAAGAAAATGATTGAACTTCTGACTCCGGATTGTCAATTGCTCATTAGGTTTTTTTTCCCCTTTCCAGGAAGTTCGAAGAATAAGAAGTGAGCATCCAGATGATGCTTGTGCCTTGGTGAATGACCGTGTGAAAGGTTCACTCAAGGTCACTCGGGCATTTGGTGCTGGTTTCTTGAAGCAGGTAAACTCAGAATTTTCCTTTGGTTAGAATCCCAAATGATTGAGAAAATGTGCATGATATGGAAATATGAGTAGAGATATGACCTGAAAGCTCGTATATACTTTGCAGACCTTTGTTTGCTACTAGTCTATTCAGCTTTAGTATTTGCTTTGGAATATCTTGTCCAGTTGTTTGCTTTGCTCTATGAATCAACTTCGTGTTCTGGAGCCATTAATGCTGTTTGTTTGCAGAATCCTAACTCGAACCTCCTGTGGTGAATGAATGTGTAGGCTAAATGGAACAATGCGCTCCTGGAGATGTTCAGAATCGACTACATTGGCAATTCTCCATACATAAACTGTGTACCATCCCTCTACCACCATAGATTGGGACCAAAGGACAGGTTTTTGATACTATGCTCAGACGGCCTCTATCAGTACTTAACCAACGAGGAGGCAGTTTCCGAGGTCGAACACTTCATCGCATTGCAGCCTGATGGGGATCCAGCTCAACATCTAGTTGAAGAAGTGATGTTCCGCGCAGCCAAGAAAGCTGGTACGTACCTAATAAACTCGGTGCGAAAAGATCCCTTATTGCACTCCAAACTATGCTCCTTTGCGGTTTGTGAGTGAAGAGATGTGCACTAAAGATCATATCTGAACTGAACTATCCTTGCTTTGCAGGTATGGATTTCCACGAGTTGCTAGAAATTCCACAAGGCGATCGGAGGAGATACCACGACGACGTCTCCATCATTGTTATTTCATTAGAGGGAAGGATATGGAGATCTTTTGTATAAGAGTAGCGAATGAACAGAAAACCCACAGATGATAGAACTGATATAGAGAGAAATCCGAAAAGAAAACAAAACTAAAAAGGAAGAAGAAATGTCAGGCATTTCCCTTTTGCCATTCTTAAATTTTTTCCCCCTTCTTTTGTTTGTCCCTGAATCACCTCTTGTGATGAAGATCCTAGTTGTGCAAGATCAGCAGTTTAGGTGGTGGAGGGTGGGGATCTTGTAAAGTCTGTAAAAGCTGGTTCTGGTTATATTTAAAAAAAAATGGCCATAGGAAGCAGAGGAACTGTAATTTTCTACAAATAAAATGACAACTTCTCTTTCTCCATAGAGAAAGGAGCCTTTTTGAGCATCATTTCCCTTCTCTGATAAAGACCTCCTTCATGGGTCAGCTGATATGTTAAAACTTTCTGAGTAGCTGTATCTGCTTTTTCACCACCCTTTTGAGCAGAGACGAGCCAAAAGACGAACAGCCTAATAAAAACCCGCATTGATAGCAATCTGGTTAGTTAGTTTCCTTCTTCCCGCATGGAAATGCAAGGCATTGTTTCAAATGCAGGAATGGACGTTCAATTTTGGTAGTATGAGCGGGGCATTGTGGGGTTGCTTTCAGGCAGTCAATGTTGATGAATCCAGAATCATTGCATTGCTTTTCTTGCTATGCCTCACTTATCTGAAATCTAAAGGCCTGGATTTGGGCACAAGGGTAGCTCCGATGGAGCAATGGCAGCCATTAATACATCCCCAGCCCACCCCCCGCCCATTAATTTCCTCTTTCTGATGAAAGTCAAAGGAGGAAATGAGGGTTCTGGACAGTGGGCACCTACTCGATTGCTTCATTCATCAACTGTACTTATTTATTATAGTACTTCTTGCAAGTAGTTTGGTTGGTTGTGTTTCGCGCCTGCAATTTCTACCAAATAAATTATATGTCGTGCCAGACACATTTGATTTGCATGTATTTGACATTGTCTAAGGGATTAAAGGGTGGTTTGGAGGAAGTTTTTATGTGAATTATTTTGAGCCAAATAATTTATAATGATTTATTTAGGTCAAAATAAGACGACACTTTATTGAGATGAATTATTTGAGCTTTGAGTTATTTACAAATAATTCATACTTTGTGTTATTTGCAAATAACTAGTTTTACTCCTTTGTTAATACCACATATATATGAATGATTAAGCCAAACAAAATATTTTATATACCACATCAAATTATCACAAACGAATCGTTGATGTAACTTGAATCGGACTATCAGCCGCTACGACTGGAATAATCGGGGGTTTCGCTGTCCGGTTAGCGAGTAGGATCCAGGGGCAACGCCTCGGTGGGGGTGCGGGGGCGGTGTATGGGCTCAATGTTATTTGGGTTCGAGTTTCTGGGCCTGGTTTGTAACCGTTTCCTTTGCCAAATTGGATTAGGTTTAGACCCACATGGAGAAGTATAAATACTTCTCATCTCCTCTGTAATCTGTAATCTCCTCGATATAGTGAAACTGGCTCTCTCTCACATGTGGACTAGCTAAAACACATCGTGTTAGTGAACCACGTAAATCGTGTGTCGTGTTTTCGATTCTCACTCTCGTATTCTTGCTTTCTCGATTCCAGTGATTTTCCGATCCGTAGCAGCGCGTTTATAACAAGTGGTATCAGAGCCGCGACTGGAAATAAGACTAGGGTTTCAATTATGATGAATGACGTCGGTGAACATGAAGATCGAGAAGTTCACGGGGAAGAACAGCTTCGCTATATGGCAGATCATGATGCAGGCTTTATTGAAACAACAAGGGCTGTGGGGCCGCTGTTTGCGAAACAGAAGAAGGTAGTGGTCGATAACAATGAGTGGAATACCCTGGAGGAGAAGGTCCACTCGACCATCATGCTATCATTGTCTGATGACATCATCATTGAAGTCGCTCGCGGGCTTGTGGTTGAAACTAGAGAGTCTGTACATGACTAAGTCTCTAACCAACAAGCTGCATCTCAAGCAACGGTTGTTCAACTTGAGGATGCAAGAAGGTACGCCTTTGAGGGAACATCTGAAGCAACTTAACTCTATTTAGTTAGATTTATGCAATATAGATGTGAAAGTTGATGATGAAGATGCTGCTCTAATCCTGCTTGTGTCTTTGCCGAGTTCATATGAGAATTTCGTGGATTCTTTTATTGCTGGTAAAGATAGCTTGTCGTTGGAGGATGTCAGATCTGCTCTTCACACGAGAGGGATTAGACATAAGGCATCCGGATCTGGTACAGGTGGTGAAGCATCAGGGTTGACTATCACAGGTGGAAAGGGAAAGAAGAAATCTAGTAAAGGGTAAAAGAGGAAGAAGGAGATCGGGCTTGCCCTAAGCTAGAGGTGTGAAGATTCCTACCTCTCAAGGGAGATTCAAGCAAGGAGGAAGGAAGATTGTCATCTCTTCATGGTTCTTTCTCTCATTTTTCTTGTTTTCCTTTGCCTAGCTATGGAATAGCCTACCTATTCACTTGGGTGTTGTGAACTCTAACTTGAAATATGTGATAGATTATATTAATTGAATGCTTTGTGTGTTGGTTTGTGTTTAATGCAAAGTTTGAGGTATTTTCGTGATGTTTGGGTTGTGTTCTTCATTTTTCATTACTATACCAATTAGACCTAGGTAGAGGGAATTCCCCTTTTTGTTAGGAGGCTTTGATAAGTTGGATTCCTTGGCCAATTTAGTCACCTACATAGGAAAAATTAGGGCAAACCTCATACTTCGATTTAACACTTTAACTTGGGTGTTACTTTGCCGTCCGGATTAAATTCCGAGGGATTGCCACCCTTAGTTTTATCGTTTAAGAGAGTTAGGACTCCTAACTTGTTGTTGCAATCCTTAGCCGAAAGGTTAAGAGAGCTAGACTCCCTAGTTTATTGTAGCAATCCTTAATCCATTGATTGAGAGAGCTAAGGTTCCTAGCTTAATTGTTTTCCTTAACCGATTGATTAAGAGAGTGAAGTTTCCTTCACTTGTTGCGTCTTCCTACGGTGTATTAACACACCTCCACACATTTGCATTTGATTTGGGTGATCTTGATATGTGGCTAGGGGGAGCAATACCCGGGTGAACTCTTCTCACATTTGGACAACCTCGATTTACTTTACTTGCTTGTTTTCATTTGTAGTTTTTTATAGTTTAAAACCCAAAAACGTTTGCTAGATAACATACTAAGCCATTGAAGTATGAGTACATAGACCGGCCCAAGTTTGACAATTAAAACATACTTACCCTATACTGCACCCAGCTAGAGTTTATGCTTGAGCGCTAGTCGGGATTTAAATCGCGGTGTATCCGTGCCGAGTCAATTATCAATCGCTTCAAATTTAGTTATCACAAAGATAATTTCCGTAGACCAACTACTTTAATTTCTTTACTTATAATGTCTAAATTCTGACAAAGAATTGTTCTTAATTATCCAATACACTATACCCTTCTTTTCTCTTCATAATTAGTTATAATGACACTTATACTATCCACTCAGACAACAAACAGTTAAGAGCTTAACACTCGGCTGAATCTATCAAAACAAAATGTTGTTACAACACATATATGGCATAAAACCAGTAAAAAACATAACACATCAAAACTAATGACTCGTTCACTTACCATTCCATTTTTCATAAACACATTGAAAACAATCTCTAACAACCAACAGACCCGTCTAAACTAATGCAACTTTTTCCATTAATCTGAAACAACCACATTCCATGCCGCTCAAAATGCGGGCAGAAAATCCAACTGCAAAGGAAAAATTTCAAACTGCGGCACTTTAAGCAAGAGCTGCCGGCCAGCGTAGGCAGGCAGGCCGTCCATTGTTGAATTTGTCAAATCCTCTCTTCCCTTTAAGTCCTTAACCATAGTAATTAACGCCCATCAATGACAAGAAGAAGAGAAAGAAGAAACCAACTACAACTCTTAATTACAATTAACAATTAGTTGTTCTTGTTTCAGTTCTAATAAGTTCTAACCTTCATAACAAATCCTCACTATCCCTAAATGGCTAAATTCACTCTCTCTGGATACCCGTTCATTCACACAAAAGCCTAGATTTCGTTCCTTACAAACCCACCACAAAGCTCGCTTCCCCACACGATTGCGAGATTTTTTGTTGTTAATTATTCAACTACACAGGAATACAAGACAAAAAAAGCCGATTAATTTATTAGCACAGTACCTTGATCGCCTTCTTCTGTCTCTGTTCTCTCTCTCTTTCATGGCATGACTCGTTCGTCTCGTGGATGAGTTTGTTCTCTTCCTCTTCTCTATTCAAATTTATGCTAACGTGGGCTTCCCGACACACGACCATTTCCTTCATTGGATTTGAAGTTTTCCTTCCTCTGTTTTCCCCGTTGAGACCAGACTTTTTTTCTTGTTTTCTCCTCGTCGGTTGTATCATCAATCATGTCGATCCTGAGCAAATCCAACAGCAGCTCCGGCATCTCCACCACCGGAGCGGCGGCGGCGCCGCCTGGTGGTGCTTCTTCCTTCCTGGAATTCAAAAAGCAGGCTTCTTTCTTCTTCAGGGAGAAGATCAAGACCGCTCGATTGGCTCTCACCGACGTCACTCCTGCTCAACTGTACCTTCCTTCTTCTCCTTTTCCTAAAATTTTCGTTCTTTGCATTCAAATGGGTTTTATCCCCTTCAGTTTGATTTTTCAAAAGATCCTGTTTTTCGATCTGGGTCGATCTCTCTCTCTCTCTCTGTCTGTGCAATGGTGCTCTGTTTTTTTGTTCTTTTCTTAATACCATAATTTGAATGTTTCCCTGTTTCCAAGGTTGACTGAAGATGCTACTAGTGGGAATCCATGGGCTCCAGACACTCGTACACTGGGATCCATCTCCAGGGCTGCTTTTGAGCTCGATGATTACTGGAGAATCGTGGAGATTCTCCATAAAAGGTTCTTCTGCTGCACTTTCTCATTTTTACTTTCGATCATACTCTTGGATCCTCTTTGTCTTGGGTTTCTTCTGAAAAAGGATCTTGGATATGAAATCAGATTGTCCAGATTTGAGAGAAAGAACTGGAGAGCGAGCTACCACTCCCTAATTCTGCTGGAACATTTGCTGACTCATGGACCTGAGAGCGTGGCCAGGGAGTTTCAGGAAGACAGAAATGCAATCAAGGACACCCAAAGCTTTCAGTACATTGACGAGAAAGGGTCTGTCTCTCTCCCGCTCGATCATCAGTTTGCATTCTTTTTTTTCTTCTTTTTCTTCCCCAATTACTTGATGAATTTTGTTGGTTTCAGCTTCAATTGGGGGCTGACGGTGAGGAAGAAATCGGACAGGATTCTGAAGCTGCTAGAGAGTGAAATTTTCCTCAAGGAGGAGAGACAAAGATCCAGAAAGCTAACCAGAGGGATCCAAGGATTCGGAAGCTTCTCCCAGAGATCAACGTTGTCTTCTTCTTCCAAACATGGCGTTCTCCAACAATCTTCATATGGGAGAAGCCATTCTCAGTACAACGATCACGATTCCGAGGAAAATCAGATTACATGTGAAACCCGAGAAAGTTTGATCCAAAATAAGATGAATAAAGATGTCAACTTTGAGAATGACAGAGTTGGGGGGCAGAGGAACCTCAACCCCACTGGTAAGAAACTTGAAGCAAGAAGCTTCAAGGAGAATATGGCTCCTGATGAAGAAGAAGTGGATGAAGCGTGGGACGACTACATTGGTGAAGTTAATCCGCTTTTGGACAGCCGGAGAGAGGAAGTAGCCAGGGTTCCAGTAGATGCAGAAGAAGATCATCCTTTCAGCAATCGTAATACTGAGTATCAAACAGCTGCTGCTTCTCTCCTTTCAGCAAGAGATGGAATCCTGCAAGGATGCTAAGAACGAAAACTAAAGCAAGCAAACACTTCGTCTGCAAAATTCTCCTGGCGACTTTCGGCAGAGGGAAAGGGAGTTTCTTTACTGTTTTTTGTGCTTCTTTTAGTAAATGTGGGTGAGGATTACAAGGCTTGAAGAAACCTTCAGTGGATTGATTGCTTTCCGTCTCCCAATACTAGCAACACTCTCAAGAACTGCTACATGTGTGTCGAATTCTGTACCAGAATGTCAAATGATTGAGCTATAATGGCTTGTGATTCCAAATAGAGAAAAAGGGTAGCTTTCGAACCCTTTTACATGATCATACAAGATAGACACATACAATGTGCAATCCTTTTATATGATAGAAGACCAAAGCCATGGGAAGGACTTCTGTATGTGCATCACCATATTTACAATGTGAAGTGACCATGACTTCTGTAGCTACTTATCTAATGGAAGCCTGGTTATATTACAAGAGAAATGTTAGATTACAAGTAAAATAAAAAAAGGCAGATTTAAGATCTGCAGAGCCATTCGTGGATTGCAAGACGGAGAGCATGATTAGGAGTTAGATTAAGATGACTCAATTTCAGATTGGTCATTGGAGATGTTTCGTGCCCATTTCGTAACCATTCACGGATGGCTTCACTCTCGTATGTGAATCCATCAGCTGCAATATGAGGATCATGCATTATTTCCTGCAGTAAAAGTGATGAGACCTGTGAGAGGTGAACGATGGCTACTAGACATTTTGCCAAACTGCAAAACTACAGGAGCATAAGGAAGTTCAATGCTCTGATAACAAGACCATAACCAGGGCAGGAGAAGTAATAATTGTTTACCTGAAGAATGGGGCACAAGAAAAAAGATGGCACTGGCCGCTCCTCCGAGACATGAAGCTGTTCCAATTCCCTCACAAGAGCAGGTGACAACTCAGGTCTGTTTCCACTGTTCAATTCACAGAACTGCAGTGCCAATTCGGCCAGACGTTTTGCCACAAACATCGGCCATTCTCCAGCAGAAGGATCCAAAATGGAGGACAGTTCCCCACATGACAGCATCCGTCGCATCTCACTAACCAATCCAACCGGAGGCCTCCCTGTGAGGAGCTGCAGAATGATTACACCGAAGGAGTAAATATCGGATTTGGGTGTCAGAACCCCGACCCTCTGGAACTCAGGATCCATGTAAGGGAAAGCACCCTTTGGCTCAGTACTTCTTCCTCGAAAACTTGGGATGTAGAGGTCGTCCTCTGATGCTAGCCTGCAGATGCCGAACTCACATATCTTACAACTGAGCTTAGAATCAAGCAAGATGTTCTGAGGTCTCAGATCCCCATGGACAATCTTTTCTGGTTTGGCAGAGTGCAAGAAAGAGAGGGCACTTGCAATTTCAGCTATCATCCTGGTTCGTATCGCCCATGTCAAGGATGAGTTGTTGTTACTATTCCTGATGAGGTGGTCCTGGATACTCCCATTTGGCAGATATTCATATATCAGACACCATGCTTCTGAGCATGCCCCAAGTAAAGTCACAAGATGAGGATGTTGTAGTTTTCCAAGAATTTCAACCTGTGTTAGGACGTATTGAACAGCTTAGAAGATGAAATCTTCACGCTTGGTGATGGTTAGAAAAGGCGTTTGAACGAGTTGGAATGACCAGGGGGACAAAAAAGCTCACCTCTTTATGAAACTCAGATTGGCCTTGCATGTTTTGTGAACATAGTTTCTTTATAGCAACAGTTCTGCCCAGCATTTCACCCTTGTAAACACAACCATATGCTCCTCCACCAAGTTTGAAGCTTTCAGAGAAATCACATGTTGCAGTTTGCAGATCAGTTAATGGAAATTCTGCCAAGTCAGGCAACTCTTCGACATAGCCAAGAAAACCATTGCATCTTGTAGCCGTCCCAGGCTGGCCATGGCTTCTCCATCGCTCAAGCCAATGCGAAGCTTCCATCTTTTGCCGCCGGATTCTCTGCTTTTCCTGAAGCAAGGAAGCAAGAGATGTTTGAACGAGTCTCAATTCTGTGACAGCTTCATCACGCCTAATATTCGCCTCATGTGTACAACTGTCGAGGAGGGCAACATTTCTCATTGTTCTTTGGAGCTCTCTAGTGAGTTGTCGTCTCTCTTCCAAGACTTTTTCTTGTTCCTCGCGTGTTCTCCTGAGTGCATCTTCGGCTTCTCTTCTAAGTTCCATTTCATGTGCAAGTGCAGATTGAAAGATTTTGACCTGAAGAAGAGAGAGCCAATAAAAACGATGCACCAACTTTTAGCACAAGGCTGCCAATCTGAAGCATTGACTAAATTCCAGCACAGCTGAATGAAAAGGAGGAGAGTGTGTAATCATGATTGAACCCTCAAACCCCCCCCCCCCCCCCCCCCATATAAAATTTAAGGATTATTCCCATAAATACAAGAAACCCACAAATGTCTGATCATATGATTGAGAATGCTACCTCGCCAACTGCTTGAAGAGCTTCATGTTCCAATCTTTTGCACTTCAGCAACTCCTCTGATGCTGTGCTCTTTGATAGTTCTGCTACTATGTTTATTTCCTCAAGCTGACAACATAAGCTTTCCCAGTCAAGCTTTGAATCATAATCAGAAGATACCCTTGTTTCAGCAGAAGCAGACCCCGACTCGGAACTACCACTTGTTGCCGGACTGAATGAAAAATGAAGGGCCTGAGAATGCGGCAAGCCTCTGTTGATAGAAGTAGATGCAATTGGTACTTTAGGACAATCACTCTGGACCCAGTTATTGACTCTGGCACATGTTATTCCACTACCAGAAAAAGAACGCTTAAATCTTGGATTGGTAGGTGGTTTATTAGTACTCAATCGAAGTGATCTAGACCTCGGATCCACAGAAATTCCAGCATTTGCATGCTCTGGTATCTGAAAACGGGGTGGCCCTTCCGAAGCTTCTCTCGTCCAGACAAGGTTCCCTTTGTTGATAAACCAAATTTGACAGCAAATGGGAGCTTCTTTGGCTACATAATCCACCTTTGTCGAGCCCTTCTTAACCCTCAGCCAACTGTAATCAATGAACACCAGGATGGGGTGACTTAGAACTATCAACGAGACTTGACTCTGGAAACACAAGTCTCACTAAAGCTTAGCTTAAGGGCCAGACTGATACTTGGTATATAAGATAATTTTTGCTATCGAAGTTGTATGGACCACTTCATTCACACTGTTTGATTGCAACTTCATCCCTTAAAAGTAAGTAAACTACTCAAGAAGCATCTGGATGAGCAACTGTGATCACGGGTTGACTGTACATGCTGCTAGAAGCTTAGAACACAGCTGAAAACAACAAATGGTGCCACTTACTTCTCAGGTACAGCCCCCATAACAAGCTTTTGGACGCCTTCCCGGTTCACCAAGTCTAAAATTCCCTTTTGAACTTGTTCACATTCAACATAAATGTAACTTGCTTCAACCTACATAGGTTTTATGATACTGCTCCATTAGTTTGTGAAAGAAATGCACAATCAGGTTCAATAACTTTGGCAGTAAAGCATTCCCAGGGGATCTAAATTAACAACAGCAGCTGTCACAATTGAGAGGAACAATGTAGAACCTTATAAAGAATGGCATGCCAGTTGAATAGCTACCACTTAGCCCAGCAAAGCTAAAGGGTTGAATTCCTAACTCTCTCAAACTATTGAAAATATAATAAGAAAACCAAGGATGGAGACAAGCATGATTTCTGAAAAAATAAAACAATTCCCTTTCAGCAACCACAAAATGCACACAGGACAAACTGAAGAATGATAACAAGTATATAAAACTGGGTCTTAGGGCCAGAGTTAAGAGAAGAGAGGAAGAGGAAAAATACCTTTGCTCGACGGAAAATAGCCAGGTAGCGCTCCAAAAGCTGCCTCATCAGCCGCTTCTCCTCCCTTCTATGCGCCAACACTACTTCAGGATTCGCTCCATGTGCTGGCAATCTTCCCACTGCAATCACACATATTAATCTACCCAACCCATCGAAAGGAAACGTAATAGAGCAAAATGTGGAGGGAAGTCTGTACAGAGAGTCGGAATGAGAGGAGAGGGCTGGTGGACGTGAAGCAGACAAATTTGGTGGCCGGTGAAGTGTTTGAAGCTCCATTGAATCACAGAAGCCGATTTCTCCACGGATTTGCCCACCGCCACATAAACCTTTGGGGAGCAAGTAGTATCAGAACTGGTGCCAAGGGTGACTTCTTCCGCGATATCAGATAACTGGGTGGACATCGTCCGGCCGAACCCAAGCCGGGATTCCGGCGACGGGAAGGACGAACCGGAGGGAATAGGTCGTGGAGTGAGGTCGTGATGATGATTATGAGGAGGAAGAAGCGGGTTTAGGAGCTCCATGGACTGACCCAGATAGAAAGATGAGAGAGAGAGGGAAAGAATGGTAAAAGTGAGATATGGGTGTGGAAAATGGAATTGGGGAAAATAATTTTCTTTTGGAGGTGGGGGAAGGAGAGATGGCAAATTCTAATCATGGGGTCGACGGGAAGGAAAGGTGGCTTGTGCTTTCCCTGATCTTTCCGCCCATTGTTGACTTGTTTGTATTCTTGTTCTTAGTTCTACTCGCGGCAAATATTCTTCGTCCCTAGACGTTGGCGTCGGGCCGGGTTGTCCGCGGGGACAGGAGAAGTCAACCTCGCCGATGGAAATAAAATAATTATGTGTATCAGTGTATGACTGTATGGCGTATGCCAAGGAATAAGGAATTTCAGAAAATTCCAACTATCCATCCGGAGTTTGGTTACCACTTCGTTGGGCGAGAATACAAGAGCGCCAATTATTTTTGACAACTGACATCATTCATTTCATTTCAAACCCAAACAAAGGGAAACACATAGATTACAATAATGGAGCGACAAGGTCGGCAATGAAAATCCATTCAAGAGGAAGGAGATCAAGACGAGAGTTTCTAGCGATCCAATCAGCTAACTTATTGAATCGACGAGGAACAAACTCAACCGAGATCCAAGGAGAAACACAGAGAATGGAAACCACACGAGCAAGGGATGCCCGGCACTGCCAGGGCAAAAGGCTCGGATCCTGTCTCAACGCATTCATCAACCTCTGACAATCAGAGCGGACACACGTTGGTACAGGGTCCTGGGCCGCCCAGATAACTGCATTAAGAATCGCAAACACTTCCGCTTGTAACGGAGAAGAACAAAAGAACCCCTCAGCCTTCCCATCGATAACCTGACCGTGGGAGTTTGCAATAACAATCCCATAAGCCGCCACCTGTGCATCAGAAACAAACGAACCATCACAATGCACAACCTTACTGAAAGGACCAGGCAGTGATAAGGTCGACGACCAAGAACTCTCAGGCTGAGAAGGCAAACCAGCTGGACATGAGGAGACATGAGCTGAGGATCCGATCCTAGCTTCTTGGACATTCAACACATCACGTTCAGCTAAAATTGCCACAGAGGGCGGAGAGAACGCCCAGCTCTCAAATACCCACCCATTTCGAGCAGTCCAGATATTCCAAAGGGAACACACAATCTTGGTAATATGGCCAACGGATGCCCTGTCTTTTAGTCCAAAGAACCAATCCACAAAGCAAGAGAGCCACAGGAAACACATTCAGCAGCCCAAGCCGAGACCAAGTCTCAAGCGCCTTGGGGCAGCGGAAGAAGCAATGCATAATCTTTTTCTCTTGGTCCTCACAGAGTGGGCACAACGGGTTAGGAGCACACTTGCGGTCGAACAGCCTCACTCGTGTTGCAATTTTGACCACATTTCCAGATGAAAAAACGAAGCTTAGGAGGCAGCTTGAGACCCCACAACCACTTCCAGTCATCTCTGTTAGGTCGAGAAGAAGAGGTCAAGTCATTAACCAGAGTGGAATCTCTAATCTCTTGAAACATCCGATAGGCAGACTTAACAGTGTAACCACCTGACTCCGTAAGATGCCAAATTCAGCTGTCCTTATCAGTACAGGGACCGACCGGAACATGGGCAATAGCTTGAGCAATCTCATCTGGCACCAGATTACGTATGACATCCATTTTCCAGCTTCGAGAATCACGGTCAATCCAATCACTAACTTTGGATGGCTCCAACCCCAAGTGAGACAGGTTGTAACATGGAATGGAAGGAAGCCAAGGGTCACAGTGACACCAAAGGCGATGAATCCCTGGTTGAGAAAACAAAAATCAGTAATGTTCAAATCAAGTCGATTGAATGCGTTGGTCAGTTTTTTTTAATATATAGTTTTGTTAATTAAAATGAGAAAAAAAAAAGAAATACAAAGCATCCAATCTGTTGTAGAAATCTCATACACAAACAAAAGAAATAGGCAAACAATATATGCATGGAATCACCAACACATAATAACTTTTGTCATATCCCTACCACTGTGAAATCCTACCAAATCACTCCTAACCACTCTGCTACACTAAACACACAAATGAATTACAGCTCTATACTTTCTATCATTTCATTATGTATATGTCAATCGTCATGAACCATCCCCGTCACCATGATTCTTATCCTTCTTGACAACAAACACACTGATTAGTCCACTTTTACTCCTTTTTCTTGGCATCTACATGGCATTTTGCATTAGTGCACATTAATTAAAATGACCATTCCTTGTTGCAATTCATGGCTTGGGGTAATATCACTTCAGTCATAATACAAATTTACATTAAATGAAAAGAATGATCATTATAATAGCCATGTAAAATTTAGAGTATCAATGTTGATTCCTCTCTTCTCCTCGGTGGCTTCATCAATAAAATGAGATTGATGACTATCTCTACCAACGCATTCTATATGATCATAGTATGACCTTTTGTATAAACCATTTCCGCCTTACCATTTTCGCATCGCAACTCCAAGTGCTAACTTGCTGGAGCTCTCCTCTAGGTAAACAACTTGTATCAACATCAGCCATGAAAACAAAAATTGCTTTGTTTGAGACATTGTCAACCCCCAATCAAATTGACGTGGGTCATTGCTCTCTTACCATCTAAATTAAAGAGGAAGCTCGGGTTAGCCTCTTTTATAGATTAACTTGACAATTTCTAGAGGTGATACAATCACGATTCACAATTCTAGAACAACCACTTCAGATAATACAATCTTATGGAAACAACACTAATGAAGCACCTAAATTACAATTCTGTACATGTTTCCTACGAGGGTGTGCATGTGCAGATTAAGAAAACTATAAGAATTAAGGAGGGAGCTTACTTGGCACGCGGTTTTGATGAGCAAAAATGTCGTCAATAAATTCCAGGTGGATATGTCCAATCAATCGGGTCTAGACATGCATATATATCAACATGCTATACTACAAACACAAAGAGTTCGGTTTGTCCTTTCCATGATAACATATGCTCACCATCTTGTATCTGCTCCAATTATCTCTACCACTCGTGCTTTTTATATTGTAGTAATTAGAACCCAACTTTTAAATCTGGAAGCAAGTGACCACTATCACGAAATATCTATTGTAAAAAGGTGTTATCAAAGCCGAGCCGAGCCGGCCGTCCGAACCATCAAAACCGCCATCCGGCCACATAACAGGCTCGGCTCAGCTATTTAGTCGGAACGGGTCTCTAGGGTGGTCGGCGAGCGACCGAGGCGGTTAACCGCTCGAGCCGTTCGTCCGGCTTTTCCCATTGGGCCAGTTGGTTTAATTAAAAAAAATGGAAAAACAAAAACGAAAAAATGAAAGGGGAGGGTCGGGCTGAAACCAACAACCCTAGTTCCTATTTTGATCTCGTCTTCGTGCATGAGGCGCCGCTTCCTTCGCAGTCCAAATCACATTCCCCGTCGCCCGTCGCCATCGCCTATTGCCATCGCCCGTCGCCAGTCCCCTTTCGCCAGTCAACGCGCCACTCCAAATTGCAGTCCCCATCGTCGTCGTTCCCGATCTAGCGTTTGAAATTAAGAGAAGAGAGATGGGAAAATTGAAAAAAAGAAAGAGAGGGGATAGGGGGAGAGCGGCGCTGCCGCTAGGGTGGGTGGGGGTTAGTGTTTGTTATCTTGTAGTATATATATATATATATATATATATATGGGGAGTTCTACGGTACCCCGGGTGAAATCCGGGGTACCGCATACCTTAAGTAAGAAAACCCTATCTAGAACTTGAATTGACTGATCTTTCGGACATTATACTATACTCTAACCCATAAAGATCAAAATCTAGGTCTTAATTCACTAAATCTTATACCCCAAGATCAATTTAATTAGAAACAATAATCGACGGTTATGATTCGTCCAAATATAGGCAAAAAAAGTAATGCTCCATCTTAGGGTTTATAGTTTATGATTTAGATAATTAGGACCTAGGGTTCACTCATTAAGGGTTAGGGTATAGTATCATGCCCAAAAATCATGCTAATTCGAGGTCTAGATAGCGTTTTCATACTCAAGGTATGCGGTACCCCGGATTTCACCCGGGGTACCGTAGAACTCCCCATATATATATATATATAAATTATTAAAAATACTAATTGACATCTGAAAAGTAAATTTTATTTTAGTCATTAAATTATTAAATTGTTACCTTATGTGTCTTCTACTTATGATATTATTATTTATAAGGTACCGGTTTTCTAACGGTTTTTTAACGGTCAAATACCAGTTGGACCATTAAAGTACGAACCGTTCGCGTTATCAAGTCATGCTCCAGTTCGGTTTTGACAACATTAGTAAAAACTTATCCGCAATCATGAAACCATCTTCTTTTTTTTGGGTAGAACATGAAACCATCTTCTACAAAACATATAAGACAATGTCAATAAAAGCTTATTGCCACATCAGCCCGTTCTGTTCATACCGCATAACTCGGAGGGATTAATTGGCCATCTCATCTCGCCTTTTTGCCAAAACCCATCCGTGCTGTCACTTTTTTTTTACATTTTACAATGCCACAAATTCCTTTTCTACAAGCCCACGGCTACTCACCCACTTCTTACACTAAAAATAAATAATTTTTGTGGAAATTCAATATTTGGAAGACACCTGGACAATAAGTTTATTATTTGGGTAATTATTTCTGTTGCAGGGTTCCTCTTTTTCATTAACATTGTAGTAATATTTCCAAGACTCATTTTTACCCTAACAAAAAAAATTGAATGTGAAAAATGCCCTAATCTTTTCTTTTAGATCACAATTTTATCGTATATGTAGATTTATAAAACCATTTATATATTTAGATTTAAAAAATTATATCTACTGATTGTAATTTAAGAAAGGGAGACCGAATGATCTATAAGGATAAGGAGAGAATAAGTGATTTTGGGCACAATTGATCGGATTTTTTGTCGCCACTAACCTGATTTTTTGAGTTGGCACGCATTTTTAGGCATGTTATTAAAACAGTTACCAAATCTCTAACAAAAATTCAGCAAACCATGTCTAATTCATTTTACCTCGGATTTCAAAAAAATTGCTTAGAAAGATTAAACTTTTTGTACTCTACAATATATGATCCATTTTGATTTTTTTAGCATAAATTTTTACTTTATCTTACCACTATCATATCATGATATTATGGTATGAGCGTTGTCAATCTTGCTATGATAGTAAGATTATGGTATGACAGTGGTGAGA